CCCCAAAACCCCAAAACCCCAAAACCCCAAAACCCCACGTCATTGCCAAAGAAATGAAACAGTAATATATGTATCTATAATATGTAATGAATTTGCACCAAAATTGTCACAAAGGGAGGTTATAACTTCGGTGTTAAAAACGTTTTTGGAAAAAACTAAAATTATAAGATAAAGAGTGTATACTCTTCATATCTTATGGAAGCCTAAAATGAATGCCATAAGGCTCAAAGAATCGTAAAAGCCCATGAATTCATAGTCAATAATGTTGCAACTATAGTTTGCAAGTGATATAACTAATATTTTGCAAAATTTCAAATCAAGTCCTAAAAAGTCCACTAAAACCTCTACATCAGTTATATTTTGAATATAAAGGTTTAAAATTATTAAAAAAATACCTTCATGAACATTTCGACACTTCTTCTTGAAAAAGATGAAAGTTTATTGAAATCGTAGAGAAATTTGCTATCAATAACTCGAGAGCTCCCAAGATAATTCCTCTTTGGTTTTACCTATGATTTTATTAAGCTAGTCTAATTATTTTCTAATCAAATTATTTTTTGGTAAAGCGTCCTAAATCCTAGTTTATATAAATAGAACCGAGAATACTGAGTGAGTCTCCATCTCTGCATTGATAAGGGTCAAGTACAGATGAACATGATAGTTGCTAGGCTATATCTTGAAAATCAACACTAGTAATTTGCTGCAAAATTTTTATATCATAGAAGAGTTCTCTGTTAGTTTTGATTTAATGAATAAATTTTTCAGAAGCTCTCAGAGATAAACCAGTTCAAAAATTCGCTCTTTGAAGTAAGACTTCCTTCTAAAATTCAGTAGACTTATCATCAAGGCATCATCCTTCCTCTAAGAGGTATCTCAACAACAGAAGTATTGAGTAATGTAACTAACCTCAAATTAGGTCCTGATGTTTCTTCCAAATGAGCCACAGTGTTTATTTGGCTTACTTTCTAATAATTTTAGCACGGCTATATATTTCGACTTTAATCCTTGACTCTAGGCTGATTTCAAAATTGTTCGCTCTTAATGTATCCTTCTGACCAGTCTAGAAGAGGTAATGTTGCATATAAAGACAAATTTTTATTCCAAATTAATAATATTATTTTTAACATTAGTATGATGGAATCCCATTGTGCCTTTTGGAATATCGAGAAAGGAGTTTTCTCCAAACTAAGTAAAAGCACACACTGATATTTTGCATATATCTCCTCTTTGAGGCTCATTAAGTTTGAAATACAAATTTAGCATAAAATATTTGGTTTATGAAAGATTCTTCACTTTTATTGTACTTTCATATCAGAATTAATAGCTTTAATAGAAAAAGCAAATGAAGCAGATGAATCCCTTTTTGGAGCAATTGATTTTTCAAAACCACAGAAAGAGTATCAGCCATGGACTCAGAAGATATCAGAACCAGAGCCTGAACGTAGAAACTTGAGTGCAGCTTCTACTAATATTGTATTAGAAAAAGTTATTGGGCAGGATATCTCTCCTATTTCTATGGTCCAAGAGAATACTTCGAGGGATAAATGAATCACTCAGAAAGTTAATAAAAGAAAAATAAGACCTTCGTTGACTCGGGGAGTTCCAAATAAGTTTGAGCCTCTACAAATGGGAGTCTCTAAAGACTGGAAGAGATGGGGAAAGAAAGAAGACAAGACCCTTTTCTATGCAATTAGGCAACTAGAAAAACAAGGTGTCCTAAAACTGGATGATCTGTTTGACATCGAACCCAGAGATGCTAGGTATAATATCATCCTCAGGTACTTAAGGAATGAACTTGGTTGGAAATCTGTGTTTAAAGACTTAGTAAAGAGGATTAAAACAAGAATATCTGATAGTTTCTCACACAGAGAGATTAAACAGCTCAAGAATATCATAAAGAAGGAGTATAACTACAGAAATCTCGATTACGAGAAGATCCTATATGACTTCCCTGGTAAAAGCCTGGCTAGAGTGACTGAAGTGGCAGATCTTATTGTAAGAAGTAAAACTGCAAAAAAACTAACCGAGATTGATGCTAATATTTTTCAATAATTTAAGCTAAATAAGGGGTTTTGGGGTTTTGGGGTTTTGGGGTTTTGGGG